AAAGGGGTCGGTGCCATTATAAGCATCTGCCCCCTCAATCACCTTAGTCAATTGTATTTCTTCCCAGTTACGAGAGGCGGCTTTCATGCGAGAAAACTCAATCATAGCAGCCCTAAGAATCCCAATCCTTGGCCGCCGCCAGTTTCATCCAAGCCCAGCGGCCCTCCGGGTCAGCGCATGAGTTTATAATGTCTACATCCAGTCTGCTGTCAATAAGGATTGCCACCTCCCTCTTTGTCCCGTCTGCCGGGGCCCAAAGTTGGGGGTCTGCCCACCATCTTTGGATTTCCATCATTTTTTCGGGTTCAATTTTAGTCTCCTGTAGGCACGCAATGTGTACTTTATTATCATATAACCAGGATGAAAGTCTGTTACGTTTACTAAGGTCGTTTTGGTCACCCAAGCCTCGTACATTCCAACTTACCAAACGAATCCTATTGGGGAGGGCCATCTACCAGGCCTTCCCCGCTAGGAGTTTGGATGCGGGATTCAACTTTTTCTTGCTCTTCCCTTGAGACTGTTCCCAAGGAGGCCTTCTCCCCAATTGAGTAATTCAGCTTCTTCCCTGCTCTCCTCTTGAGTAACGTGTCAACAAAAGAGTCAGGCAGGATCGTTCCTCGATTGTCTGAGTCCTCAAGCCAGTCCGCTATTACCTGAGCTGTAAAGCCCGAGAGCAGCTTGATATCCTTCATTATGGCTGATTGGGGGGAGGCCAGGTGGGCCAATTCGATAAAGTATATTTTGAGCTCGTCCCATTTTACTTTGTTATCAGTAATATGGACCAGGTCCAGGAAGGCAAAAAGAAGGCGAACCTTCCCTCCATCCGGAGTATCTGCCAGATATCTGGCCATTTTAGGTTCCGTTAACAGTCCCACCTCCCCAAGATTCTGCATTATCTAGATTTTAACCAGATTGCAGATCATCACTGGGGAGGGAGAACTTCGCAGTACAATTGAAAGAAAGGATAGAGCCTCATCTTTTCCTTTTAGAGTAAATACTCTAAGAACCTGCCCATCATGTGAACAAATCAAGGGGACCAAGTAGTCTGAAATTTTCCCTTTAGCTTTCTCCTTCCTATTAAGTGTTTTCATTGGTGCAGACAGAGCCAGCGAGCGCCGTGCTGTTTTAGCACATTGCTCCCTGGGCCTTTTCAAGGGAGAGTTTTTGGCTATTTCTTCAGATCCAGTTGGGCCTGTGACATCCTCATCTCTGTTCCTCGCATGAAAGGTCAGACCCTTGACAGAGGGGAGGTAAGGGGGGGCTTGGATGCAGCCCCTTCTTGTGGACCAACAGGGGAGGTAAAGGATTCAGTAAAAGGATTTATCGGGAATTTATTATCTGACGACTGAGGTAACCCTGTTTTAGCAGGGACTTCCCCATATTTTTCGGACAGGGGTTCCGCAGGGGAAACAAATTCCGCTGCAGAACCTTCCGAGTCTTCCAAATCTTCTTCCGAATCTGAGGACTGTTCCAAGCTAAATAAAGGTGCCAGTGTCAGTTTGTCATTTACCCTCCTCTGATTGGTCTTTCTGACCTTACATACTCCAGGCTGACCATCATCTCCCAAGATTTCAGCGTTAAAATAAGGGTTGTTATAAACTGACCCCATCTTCAGACTTTCCGCAGAGAGACGAGTCAGCGTGACCGCTGCTCTTCCCACTGTGTCGGAGCTCTGTGGTGTTGGGGACTGGGGAGTCTTGTTATTTTCTCCCTCGAGAACTTCATCCCCTTCCTTAAACCGGCATGGTGAGGCAGCGGACTTGTGGGAGGGGTTGACTTCTAGGGCCGCTGGAGAGCAGTTAGAGGAGAGGGGGGGGGGGGGCGGCTAGCGACGAATGGGGGGGGGAACCACAGGGGTCCAGGCCCCTGGAGTCCTCCATCTCTTCGTCCCGTATCTGGCCCTCTTGCCTTTCCTCCCCTCCCTGTTCTTCTTTCTCCCTGAAGCCAGTCCCTTCTTCCATTCCTTTATCCTCATTCCTTACCTCTCCCCCTGCCAGCTCCCTTGCCTCATGAACCGGTTCATCCACTCTTAGGCTCTTAGCTGCTGTTTATTTAATCTCCATTCTTTACGAACCTTTGGCTCACTGGTTCGTTTCCTAACCGACTTCTTCTTCTGTTTGGACGATTTTTTTTTCTTGTTCTTGGCTCTTCTGTCCAAATCACTCTGGGATCGACTCACGTCCTCACCCGGACCCCCTTCCTTCAGGTTCCCCCCTTCCTCCACTGCCACCCCACTTTTCAATTGATCCTCGTCATTTCCCTGCTTTTCCTCTCTCCCACCACCTCCACCGCTTTTCCCTTCACCATCTGAGTCCTCCCGTCCCTTCGAGGGGTCCTCCTTCTCCCTTTCCTGATGTTGTCCGTCCCGTCCCTTTGCAGACTTCGCCCCTTCGGTCGAGCCCTCGTCAATCGGTGCTTTCCTTTTATCCTTGTCCTGCTGATTATCTTGTTTCTCTGCAGGGCACTGGTCATCCCCCTCGTAGTGAAAATTTTGGCGACAAATTATGCACCACGGGGTTTGCGCATGAACCACCTCAATTTCTACGTATCCACCTTTTTTCATATCGATTACCAAATATGGTTTATACCTCACCCGAGCAGATGGTTCCAAGTCGAAACGAATATTGACGAATTCTGGGGAGGCAGGGTCAGCATATGTGTCATGTTTCTTCAGGATTTTACCGAAGGCCTTTTGAACTGCAGCAGCCACGTCAGGAAGGGCCACCGTGCTTCTTGCTTTTAGCTGCAGTCTAGAACGACGACGGCTTACGTCCTCATACAATCACTGCCCCCTCTTGATGTTGAGATCGGAGAGGAGAGAAGAGCAGCCATAGGGCCTGGCTGCACTACTCTCGAAATGTGCAAAACGAGAGTGAATCTTCCGTTAGTTTTGTCTTTTGTGCATTTCAAGAGTAGTGCAGCGAGGCCCATAAACTGTTACCTTGCTTGGATGTTTGTACTGATTCTGTCCTCTTTTGTTTCTGTTTTGTTCTTTTTTTAGCATCGCGTCCTCTTCGACGTGCCCTCTCCCCTTGATTCTTTCCTTGAAATTTCTCTTCTTTTCTTCTTTTCTTGGGTCTTGTTCTTTGGGAGAGGTTATGCCGAGGAGAGAGAAACAGCCTCCTCCCAGCTGTGTTGGTCGGAAAAAATGACTTGGAGGGAGAAGACTCTGCATGCACTCTGTGCCTCCGCATAGACGGGCTTTTCCCAGGATTTACCCCCGGCACTTTTTCACCCTGCCTTTCCTCTTAAAGTTTGTTGTTCTCGAAAAGGTGCCTTGCACCTGCAATGGGACGCTGAACCCCCGGTTTTCAGAAGAGACATCTCCGGGGGTTGAATTGTGAGGTCCCCGTTGTCTCCTGTGTTTGGTTTATGCAATAAAAACGACAGCTTTCCAAAAAAAAAAAAAAAAAAAAGCCGCCTTGCGCAATGATGACACGCATAAATCGTAGGAAAAAAAAAGGAGACTTGTTTTGAGGTACCATTCAACTGCCTCCCCTGGGGCAAAGTCCCACTTGACGGGATTCTTCATTTCTGGCCGTTGATTTTCATGATCTACGGTCGGGAATGGAGAATCCGGGCAAGCGGGACTTGGCCCCTGGTAATCCGGAGGGCAGAGCGCCTCACCCCACCACTCACCAAATGTGCAAAATGAGAATGTACCTCCCTCTAGAACATGGAAAGATACGCCAGTCATATTTTTCTCTATTTCACATTTGGTAATGTGCAAAATGAGAATGTACCTCGCTCTCGCACATGGAAAGATACGTGAGGCATATTTTTGTCTATTTCACATTTGGTGCGTGCTGCGTCGACGCCCATACATCCCGTACCGAGTTTGCTACTACAGAAGGTTGGAAGCGGCATTAACTCCGAGCACAGGGAGGGCGGAGGAGGAGAAAGAATGTCTTTGTTTGGACAGAGGGCATACTCAGAACTGGGACTTTCATGAAGGTATCTATAGATAACGACGGCCAAATTCGGCCAGAAAAGTGCTGGTGGTGTGAACGTGCCCTCGTTTAGCAGACACCTCCTCTGTGGTCGTGTTAATGCCGGCCGTCTACAGGAAGGCAGAGCTCTGCACAGCCACCACAGCTGTCGCACATAATCGTCGCACATTTGGCGCTTGAGGAGAAAGGCTATGCGCCCTGTCTTCCTCCCGCCATGACCGTCGATCTGTGGTCTTGTTGCCATAGCCGTCGATCTAAGGTCTTTCCGCCATAGCCGTCGATCTGTGATCAAGGGGATCCCGTCTCCGACAGCCTACATTCCCTGCAGATCAGAGCAAACTGACCTGTCACACAATTGTCGCACAACCATCCGTCACACACGCATGGCCGTTCAATGCCCGACTTCTCACAGAGTCACAGCTGCCTCGTTTGTCGCACAAACGTCGTGCTTCTTCGATGCTGCGCCTATGGGCCTCGCCACACCACTCTCGAAATGTGAAAAAGACAAAAATGTGGCGGGTGCATCTGGTCGTGTTTTGGCGGAAAAGTTCATTCTCATTTTGCACATTTCGAGAGTTGGTTAGAGTACATATACGCCTGGAAAGTTTAAAGTCAGTAGTTCGAATGTACTTAGGCCCACTCTGCTCTGCTCCCCTGCCGCGCTCGCAAGAGCGTATCTCATAATATTCGACAGCCCATCAAGTATGTCGCATTCGGGCGTTAGCGTGTCACTTAGCGGTTTGCCGGTGAAATTCCGCTGCTGCGGCGGCTGCTGATGAATTTCCGTAAAGCCGCCCCGCCATGCCAGGTCGATGACGACGATGATTTCGATGCCAGCTTATCGCCGCCGCCGCCATGGCCGCTGCCATCGCTCTCTCTTCTCAGACTGAGCTTTCGACCAATCACCCGCAAGTGTCATGACGGTTAAAGCAGCGAGCTATGGAAGTCTATATGCAGGCAGCATTTCATTTGAAGCGGCGATCGGAACAAGTTTTTTTTTTTTTCGATCCGAACAAGTCTTAGAGAGGTCAGACGGGCGAGAAGCAGTATGGGATCGACGGAAAGAATGGCGTGAAATTTGAAAGTTCTTTCGACGTGTTTACTACAACTATAATTGTATCATTATTATGAATTTATTATGATCATAACAATAACATTTTTTTGTACCAAAAAAAAAGATCTAGACCCGGACAGATCAAGCATCAAGTAGTGAAACAAATTGGGACTCATCCGATGTGGAGCAAGTTGTCCTCCACGCTCGGGGCTTGTGCGAGTGCTGTCGTCAGAAACCCATCGCTCGTTGACACGCTTGCGACCAGGGCGGCCTACTTCCTCTATGGCTTGGAACGTCGCAGAGATATTCAGTCGGAGCTGGACCGAGAGAACAACGAGCTTTATAGCTTGGCGAAGACAGTCGAGAGCGCGTTATATCCAGCATGGCAGAGGGGTGCACTGGAAGAAGAAGAATACAAGGAATTCAAGCAGGATGTGGACAGCGCAAAGGCACATGCCCGGAGGGGGAGATCGGAACAACCCGCCGCCATCGCCGCCGCCATCGCCGCGGAAGCTGGCGGGTTGCGCCTCTCCCTCGAAGAAGAGGCCGAGTCCGACGACGACAAGAACCAGACTGCGAGCGAACCACATCGTCAACACTTAGCCGAATTTCCGCAAAGGCTCAGGGCTAGGTCCGTTGCCGCAGCTGTCTATTTCGCAGACGCAGCATTTCGCGATGGCGAGAACAAGAAAGCGACAGAACACATGCAGCGCTCCGCGGAGCTGCATAAACAACTAATGAATACTCTCACGATTCTTCGGGGAAGTTTCCCCACTTCCTACGATTGCCGTAAGGACAACGAGCACGACCACACCCGCTTGCAGTTGCAGCGGCCATCCATTGGAGACGGTTCTCCCCTCCCCCCTCTGCCCAAACGGAGGCGCATTAGTAGCTTGGGCCACGTGGCATCGGGTGAGCGGGAAATGCGGGGACCACCACTGATGGACGGGCGGCAGCGCGGCGAGTTCGAGAACCAGCCTTGTCCTCCGGTTTCCCGCCAAAATGACGACCTTGACAGCCAGATGGAGCGAGCAAGTGAAATGTTTCGCGCGCATTTCAAATCGTCAGGTCAGCAGTGGCTGAAAGTCCGGATACGGCGCGCAGTGGGCGCTTGGGAAGAAGAGAGGGAAGCAAGTGCTGATGTACGCTCGGCAGGAGATCGACAAAGAGGAGAACGAGGCGGTGAAAGAAGAGAAGGAGAAGGAGAAGAGAGAGGAGGAAAAGGAGGAGGAAGAGGAGGAAGAGTAGGCATAGAAGGAGGAAGAGGAGGAGGAGGAGGAGAAGAAGAAGAAGGAGAGGGAGGAGGAGGAGGAGGAGGAGGAGGAGGAGGCGGCGGAAAAGGAGGAGATGGACTAGGGATCAATTGCATTCTCAAGATTGTGTCTTCTGATCCTATCCAGCTGGAGATGACGTGGACGCGGGGGTTCTATTTTTATCTGTTCGTTTCGTTCCCACCTCCGAGCCTCGACTCAGGGCCGCCAACTTTGCGGCTGGCTTACCCCACCGCCGCTGCGCATGCAAACCATGCTCCAGCGAACAGGTACGCCACACTTTAACCTTGAAAGCTCCTCGTAGACAAACCTGAACATTTGTGTTTTCGTTGTTGTTTTGAAATGGCGTAGCCCTCCTAAAAAAAAAAAAAAAAAAAAAAAAACAGAAAAAAACAGAGGTAGCCCTTAACTTTATGGCGCTCATGTAAATCCATCAGAGCGGAGGGATTCGCGCCCGTAATACTCTCTTTCCTAACAGTTGCATGTGTCATGATGTGTGTACCATTCAGCCACGTGGGCCCAGACACGTGGGCCCAGCACACCTGAGTTTGGGCATACTCACACTGGGCGTACTCTCCTTAAAAATGGGACCTCCCGGTTAACGAGTTCATACGTGCGGGCGAACCTGCCGCTAGAAAGGTCATACGTACATCTGGGAATTTTTTTTTTTTTTTTAACATCTGGGAAATTCAAAACGTGATCTTGTTTGCCTTTTTTTTTTTTTAGTTCTTTTCAATCTAGGTTGCCCCCTAATGTGTTCAACTTTAAAAAATAAAATAAAAATAATGTAATAGCTCTAAGCCTCTAACTGAATGTAATAGCTCTAAGCCTCTAACTGATCTCTAGTGCTGAGAGAAGAAGCTGAGGGATCTAAAGAAGAAAATTTGAAAAACAAAGCATTCATTCTGACCTCTTTTTTTTTAGCTACACTTTCTTCTTCTCGCAATTTTTTTCATCTTCTACTACCTACCAACCACTACTCCTAAGGCTATAGAGGGGACCCCTCTCCTGGTGAAGGGAGGTAAAAAAAAAAAAAAAAAAAAAAAGAGAAAAAGGAGTCAAAGACACAGCAACTGGCCCGAAGGTAGAATAGGAGATATCATGACCAGGCGTTCTACTCGGGTGAAAACGGTAGGTACGCCTTCGAACGACCAGAGAAAGTAATCCGTCCGCGTATGAATACTCAGTGCGTCGTGGAAGATGTGGCGGATATGGGGTCTCGCCGCATCACTAACCAAATGTGCAAAACGAGAATGTATCTGCCGCCAGAACGTGGAAAGGTACACCCGCCATCTTTTTGTCCTTTTCACATCTGGCGAGTGGTTCGGCGAGGCCATGGTTGTTAATAATGCCCGGTTTGCAATTACTGGTCGGAAAAAAGGCGCTTTCTAAGACAACGTCACTAGCAGGCTATAATATATAATATATATAGCGATATACTCATCGTGAAGGTGCTGCACATTCTGAACCAGAAGAAAATCGTGAAAAGATAAGTGCTTTAAGTCAAGTCATTCCACACTACTGGCG